GTTAGTTTGGTTCATGCTTTTAGTTTTATGAGAAAACTTGCATTAAATTCAGAGTGGTTCGCATCCTTTCTATTCTGTCATTTACTCAATATGAACCCCGGTGTTACAATTCTGGAGTAATCCATATTTCTTTGAGTAGTAGCTTTCGAAAAGCCAAAAATGTGATCGTCAAGGCGTGTACCTGGATATTGGGCATGGTTTACTTTGAGACTACCATGAAAGACCTAAGGTTTGAACAATGAGACATGTTGGCGACCGAGAAAGGTGCTTAAATTCTTCCTCCACACTCAGTTTACCCACGGTTACTATTAACCGTCGTTTATATTTTGGAAATTGCAAATCGCCAGTTTTTAGGGAAAAAATCATCGTTTTTTCGTTGCAATCAGTGCTACAGATTGCATTTTAACATTGCGGTAATTCACTTACGCAATGCGTTAAAAAATCATCGTCAATAATCGTAAAATTTCATCATTACGACACATCATTTTGATTGGTTAATGAAAGACATGACCTGTTATGTCAAAGTTGTTCCAGGTCAAATCGTGCTGAAAAACCTCATGGTGGAATATTGCCTTGCGTCGTGAGTTTGCGTACGATCGAAAACATACCAAAACAAAGATATTGATAAATGCCTTCGTCCACTGTTTCCTCACAGACCCTACCCATTATTTCACCGTAAATTCAGACGGTATGTAAATCGTATTGTAATAAAATGTATGTGTTTTTTATGAACTTGTTTGTTTCTTCGTTGTAAGTGTCGTTCAAATCAATGACGCTTTTTTTTTTAAAAATAAGTATTATTTTTCCGAGCCTGGCGTGGTGAACAAATAATTTTTTTGGATAATATTTCGTTGTTTGCAAGATGGTTACAGTGTTTAACCCCAAAACAAAATCATTTTTTCTGAGTTGGTCCTCGAGTACAAGCTCATCCCTTACTTTTCCCTTACGTGTTGATGCCTCCGGGCTTATGATCAGGGAAGTACGGTATACTGTGAAGATTCAGATCAGTCCAGTGTGAGTGATGAGAGTTATATCGTCGACGATGCCCCTTGTTCGGATGATAGTTTTATTTCAAATTACACGGAAGTCTGTGAACAATCTGCTTGGTGTTCCTGTGACACTTTTCCTATGATTTGCCAGTGCAGTCCCATGAATACATGGACGAAAATGTTTCCACCACCACCCTACGAACTCAAGATTGCATACTCCAGCATCCATACTTTGAATAATTTGCACGCCGCACAGTGCAGTACTGGAAACAGTATTTATTAGACAGTTAGACAAAAATCAAAACAAAATGCCTGTCTCGATCAATCGCACATCCATAATGTTTGTATGTTGATATGCTTGTAAATAACATTAACGTAAAAGTCGAAACAACCTAGACTAGAAGTCAATTCACCAGTCCAGCCAACTATGGCTCCCTAAGTTGCTTATATTTAATCAGATACTGATTCGTCATCATGCTTTGTTACCTTACCTGTTTATACCTCATGGGGGCGTTTTTTTATGGCAAGATGGCGCAAACGGAAGTCCTTCGCAGGTTTATCATAACTCTGAAGATAATCATTTTTTAATTTTTTTTTTTCAAATTTATAATCAATATACATAACTTGATAAATACAAACACCAAAATAAGCTCTATTAGTTCTCCTTTAACATTGTATATACCGGTTGTGTTTGATGTGTTATATGTCTTCATTGATTGGTCACATGACATGGTGGCCCAGGCATATTGGGTTATACTCTCCATGCATGTAATATATGTTGTATTACATGACTAATCATTTGACCATGAAGGATCACTTAGCATGGCAACCATATTTGATTGGGCTCTCCATACACATTACATATGGTGTGTGATGTATTAAATGACTTCATTTGCTTACTTGGCACAGCAGCCATATTAGATGATTTCACTTCACAGACATATAACATATGATGTCTTACATTTAAATGTCAACTTGTGTACAACAGATGAGAGAACAAGAGAAGAAAGATCAAGATATTTGTGCACAGTTGAAAGCATATGGGTTTTGCAGGTGAGTTTTTGTTTTGTAATCTGTGTGAACAAGCTGTCTGATCTATAGTGCAAGATAAACCTGTAATATTCCAATGAAATATATTTACCAATGTACAAATATTTGTTTTCTAGAGATGGTGTTTTGTGTAACTCTAGACACAAAGTTTTTGCTGATTTAGAAGCTCCAAAACTTCCAGTGAAAGGATATGTCAAGGTACATATTTCAAATGTGATTGTTAGCAATGTATTTTGAATACAAGTCACCTTAAGTCATAAGTATTATTTATGAATATGAACAGAGGGGGAGAACTACATGTTGAACATGTCGGTGAAAACTGTTGTGCATGTACAGTCCTGTGTGATTTATCATGTGGGAGTTTAGCATTGCATCTATTGTATGTGTAAGCCATAAGACTGACATACTAGATAACATTTTCACAAATCAGTATGATCATGCTCAGCAAAAAATAGCATACATGGATCAGCACTTGCTAGCTCTATAACAGCACCAGCTAACTGATGGTTCTGGTCAACCAGTCACTGCACCTGTGTACACATGAAGAACTTTTTCTCTCATATGAACTGGTTTATGACAGACATTATGTGATATAATCCACAACACATAAAATTCTCATTAAGGATAGAATGCATCAGCATAACTATCTAAAAGTTCTAACGTAGACCCATACAGTACAGATTATAACTTGTTAACATCAACTTTTCATTTAGCCTTTATGTATACATTACTCCTCTGCAAATGTTAGGTGTTGATTACACATGTCGTAGACGCCACTCATTTCTATGCCAGAGTACTAGAATACAGAGAGACTGAGAACAGTCCAAGTGAGGACAGCATCGCATCTCAGTATGTACAATTATTGATAAAGCTTACGCTGTGGTATGGCACTTCAAGTCGTAAGATAGTGGTATCCACTGTGTTTGTTAATAGTATGTATGCTATCGAAGACAAGAGAAAACATACATTTCAAAGAGTCATAGTGACTGCAGTCAAAAATGAAGACAACTGCGATGATGTGGAGGTAGGAATTGTTTTAAAAAATGATCTACTTTTCAGTTGGCATATGTCTACTGATTGATTGAATTATGTTGTGCAGTTCTTTTGTTTTTTTTAGTTTACAACCTTTCACTGTGTATACAGCACCCAGCACAATTGTTGGACTTGCTAAAAAAAAATTAATTATTAAAAATTATTGAATACTTATACTTTACTGTGAACAGTCGGTTTCCTCAAAGAAGACTAGGCTGATTTCAATCTAACTTTGATCTGATGTCTGAAGTATACACTTGTTAAGTTATGTACAGATAAATAAATAAATAAAAATGTCTGCTTGAATTTTTTACGTCCGTGTGCGAAGCACACAATGGGAGTCTTCGTGGTTACCCTGTCTGTGTATGTGTGTGTGTGTGTCTGTCTGTCTGTCTGTCTGTCTGTCTGTCCGTCCGTCCGTCTGTCTGTCTGTCCGTCCGTCCGTTCCACTGATATCTCAAGAACAGTATGTTGGTTTTTAATGAAACTTGGTTTATAGATGCTCAGGGCTAATGCGCAGATTTGGTTGAAATCCATACATTAATCATCACATTATAATGAAACTTTGTACATGTGTGCCCTGAAACAATATACAGACCTAAATCTATGCATAATAATTATTTAATTTGTATAATAATTCATTTGGTTCATTGAGGTAATCCACAGACATGATTAGTTTAATGTTGATAAATATGCATATTGATTATATATTGTTAGCCCATTTCTGACATCTAAAAAAAATCAGATTGAATTCATCGCAGTGGTGCTCTGGAACTAATTAGACTAAAACCATGGATGAAAAATTGAATGTATTTTCTGTATGTATTATAAATTTTGATAATGGTTTTTTTTCATGTTATGCATCTCAAATACGGTAGTTGCCAAGCTTCTTGTTTGAAAAGCAAATAGTTTATTGTTTGAAAAGCAAATCTTAAATTATGACTTACTTTTAATGTGTCTTCAATATTCTCAGCACACGGGAGTTCTTTTTAAACTTTATTATTTATTGCATTGGATGGTCTTAATGATTGGTAATTAGTCCCCGTTTGGACGAAGTCCGAAAACGGGGACTTATAATTCGTCTCTGTGGTCCGTGCGTGCGTCCGTCCGGAGTCATATCTCAGAATCCTTTGGACCGATTCCGTTCATTCTTTGCATGTGCCTAGTACTTTATGTGGGACATATGCACATGCAGTGGTTTAGCGATTTGATTCAAAATGGCCGACTGGCAGCCATCTTGTTTTTTGAAAATGCCGTATTTTGAACATGCTATGTCAGTTTTCATTCAAATTTAGTACATAGATCATACATGTTAGGATATATGTCCCCGACCGTCCGTGAGTTCCTGAGTCTGTCCATCCGTCCGTCCGTGTGTCCATCCATCCGTGCGTCAGTCTGTTCAGAGTCATATTTCAGAATTCTGTGGACCGATTCTGTTCATTCTTTGCATGTGCCTAGTACCTTATGTGGGACATATGTACATGCAGTGGTTTAGCGATTCAGCCATCTTGTTTTTTGAAAATGTTGTATTTTGGACATGCTTTGTCAGTTGTCATTCAAACTTGGTACATAGATTATACATGTTATGATACATGTCCATGACGATTTATTTCGCAATTGGATCAAAGATGGTCGACTGGCAGGCATCTTCTTTTTTTTATGCATTATCTTGGACGTGCTCTGTCAGTTTTCATTCAAATTTGGCACATACATGTACTTTATACATGTTAGGATGCATGTCCATGACAATTTGTTTCAAAATCTGGTCAAGGATGGTCGATTGACAGCCATCTGACTTTTTGGCCTTACTACTATATTTCCACAATTAATGTACCATTTTCATTTGTATTTGGCACATACATCATATCATGGAACTATAAACCCCAGGAAGAACAACCACTTTGTTTCGTTTGAACTATGATAGTTGCCGCGATGTCGAATGTTTATTTTGACTGTTTATTTCGTCGCATTAAAAAATAAGCCGATTTACGCAAATGAACGTTTATCTCCAACTATCGGTCATTTTCGGAGTCGACAACAAACAGCATACCAAACCCCATGTTTCGCAAACTTTCGCAACCTTATTTTTTCGAGGGTTGAAAAAAACAAGAAGTAGTCTAAAAACGACATTGAAAATTATGAAAACTCGCTAGAACTTCGACCCGTTGCATGATTTCCGGTACACTGAAGGTCACCCTGCAGACCGACTTGTTTGCGCATGCGTAGTGAACGAAATATTTTACTGCGCAGATATTTTTTTTTCAAGTTTTCCGTTTCCAGCAAAGCGGTTGATACGGGCGTATCGACGGCAACTAACATGGAGTATGACTAATGTTGTGAAAACAAAAGCGAAAGCACTGTAGGATAAACTAAGACAAAGGTTTTTTTAATCCTCTTAGTTTCGTTGTTCTTCCTGGGGTTTATAGTTCCATGATCATATATATTAGTGTGTTTCATAATCAGATCAAAGATGGCCGAATAATGGCTGTTTTTATTTTTGGCCATATTACTACTACATGGAACACGTGATTTGATGTAAATAAACAATCTGCTGTATACGCCACTTGGAACTTAAGTTTCAAGGACACGCTCGCGACAACCCCTCCACTTTAATATGACGAGCACAAAAACTTAATTTAACGGGGAGTGTGTCATTTTCAATGACTTGTTGATTATTTTAGTTAGTTATTGTTAAAAGTTGCTTCATTTATACATATTTATGATTTTCAATGTTTAAGAAACATTTCTGCATTGTTAACAGTAAATTCTCGCTATGACTTGTTTGTTCGTTTTGTACTTTGAGTGTTGGTTCTTATAAACAGACACAGAATATTTTGATTTGCAAAAAAGATGTTTTGAATGCTGCAATATTATTGTCTTATAGGTACATTACATTGATGAAGGAACCAGTGCAACAGTTGAAATGGACCAGCTGTTAGTTCTACCGAAGCAGTTTCAGAAAATACCATCCCAGGTTTGTATTCATATAAATTATTTGTGTACAGGATTTATTTTGTAGTTTATAATTGCTGCTCTCACTTTTGAATTGATGAGTTTAAAGGGGAGCTTCTGCCTGTGAACTGAAGAATTCTGAAACTTTCAAACACATATTAAACAATCATTCCAGTATTCTGTTGTGAAATGTTGTTCATCTTCAATTTTGAGACAGTTTTGACAAATTCTGCTTTGTAGCGGTATTTTAGGTTTTTGATGACGACCAGTTTCAATTTTCAGTTTGTGGCCACTCATTCTAAATCTTGCAAGTGTCCCTATTGCTTTTCTGTCATTGAGTTTTTGTAAATAGGTTTCCTGTTGGATGTTATTTTTGAATAATTTAAAAGTCCTTAGTTTTGAATCAGTACTGTTCATGTTAGACATCCATGTATTTGTATAGTGTTCCTTACACAATTCTTGAAAGTGCTGTTTTGTTGTTTGTATGTCAACAGGTTTGTTGTACGTTTTTTTCAAATCATGTAGTTTTGATAACCAACTGTTTTTCAACACTGTATTCTCCATCTCTTTAAGTGCATAATATGCTATGTTGTTTTCATCAATGGATTTTAGTTGTTTATAGTATCTGAGAGCTTTGTATTGAATGTAGAACATCATGGGCCTTGATAAATGTCTAAAAACCTTCACTTATAGTTGTCATTCTGTCTGTTAGTTTGTCTTCACCAATTCATCATTCAGTATTTATACTGTTTCCCTGCAATTAGGTCATTGAAGTATATGCCTGTAGAGTGAAGCCATTAGACAAAGATACAGATTGGACAGTACAGGTTAGGTGACTTCTTTATAAATCATGTCTATTTTATCTAGGTGCTTTTAAATTGTGTGTAAGTAAACAACACATTGAACTAGCAGGTGTGTATATATGTTGCCATGTGTTATATGGGGACCACATCAAACATGCACTGTTTTAGCACGCAAGTGTTGAGTTTTTGCCAACTTGCAACATATAATATTTCTTTTCTAGGCATCATATCACGTCTATGAGAAAATCAATGGGAAAATACTAGATGGCAAGATAGTTCTCTGGTATGTTTTTAAAATAGAATTTGTTATTTTATCAATTTCTCAACCATACTTGCCTAATAAATGCATTTCTGCACTTTATAACTTTGAATAGTTTTTATTATTCTCATATTTCTGTATTCTTTCCAAAATGTAACTACACTTATATTTTCATTCCAATTGTTCCTTATTTGTAGTAAATGACATCACAAACATTGAGCATTTGAACACTTTGCTTTGTTAACATTAGAACATGTGATGAAACAGAAACGTTTGCACAACACAAAATGTTTAAATTATATCACTATAAAAGCAGGGATGAATTTATATAAAGGTTATCATGGGAATACTCCAGTATGGGGGGGGGGGGGTCGCAATAATATATGCTACATGTCTGTTAATACAATCGGCATATTCCCTTTGTGCAGTGATAACCACATATTATTATGTCATTTCATTAAGTATGGGCAAGACGTTGTGGCTGGATCCTCTCATTGAAAGATGTAAACTGGATGCCCTCCATATTGTCACCAATGCTACTAATATCAGAATGGAATTATTGAAAAATGCATTTGCGAGACAAAATCCTGAGGTAAGGTGCATGAATCTAATCACTGAAAAATGACTCGTTGAAATAATTGTGAGAAACACAGCCACTGAAATGCAAACCAAATACTGAGGTCATGAAGCGGTATACTACAAATTTATCAATGTAAGTGTATACAGCTTCAAGTATTGATATCTTGTGCAGTGTCAGATGAACTTGTGTGGATTTCGAATTGGTAGAAGTGTATCTGTAATAGAAAACGCATATAAACCAAAAATTGCATTAAATATTCAAATATATTATGATTGGGACCCATAGATATACATGTGTTGTGATGAGAGTTGACAATTTGGTGAGAGTGTTATTAAACTCTAAGTGTTTCTATTGTGTAGCATGTGGTGACACTGAGTGCTCTATGTAAGGGACAGATACCAATATGCGAGTATGAAACAGAGGCTGAAATAGATAGTACTGATGATGATGATGATGATGACAGCAGTGACAGTGATGAAGTGGCTTCTGAGGAATAGTAAGTAATGAAGTCAAGATTTAGATAAGCACCAATAGGGTACGAGAAATAATAAAAATTTAAAAAACTATTACATGCAATATTAATGTTATTTCTGCTTACTGTTGTAGTATCTGTTCTTAACCCATATCTGAAAACAGGCACATGGTAGCTGCATGTAGTGCAATTTGTTTTGTTCATAAATTTATACATTTTGCATCTAATTCTTTATTTTTGCTTGGAATTAATTTTCGCTGTTTTTGCTGAAGGAACGATTCAGTGAAAATAAAATCCAGTGAATATACCTTTTATATTTTACATTCAACTCAGTGACAATAAATTCCATACAAAACACCCAAAAAGTCTTTTCAGTGAAAATTAATTCCAGTTAAAATAAATTATTTTAAAGTATTATTACTGTTCGTTTCTCAGTGTATACAGACTGCTTGCATGCCAGATGATGAATACTGTGATGTCTGTGTTACATATGTTGATACACCGTCGCTATTCTATGTACAACTTAGAGACAATGTTAGCAGGTAAGTACAATATCTCTAAACGAGTACCGGTAGTTTGTTCAGTTTACTGATTCACTGTTTGTTTGCTTATATGGTGTTTGTATTATTTACAGTTGTCAAACTCCCTGCTTATATTTCTCATCAGTCTTTTAATTTCTTAGTTTTATACTATTGATATTTTTTTCTCAGATTGGAAGACATGATGGATATTATTAATTCAATGAATAATATGCTACCACTAACAGATAACCAGTGTAGTGTAGGTAGACTTTGTCTGGCTAAGTTTGTACAGGATAACAGGTATGTTAACATACATATGCATAACTGTATATACAAATAAATCTTATTTCTTAATTTGGTTTTCATATTAACATTATTCATATGGTTGGAAGGATATGTATGGTATTGAGCCTAAGTTTTTTGAAAAATTGATATTCAACCTTTTCATCACAATTTTCTCTTTTGTTCCCAGAACATTAGTATCAATTTTACATTTTTATATATTTTTCTGTAATTGCTTCATTAAATTTTGCCGAATTTTGCCTAATGGCGAGTACACAAATAGGGAAACTTTGGTTTCGCATGCATTTCAGTTCTGTTCAGATCAGATCACCCAGAGTGAGAGTTTTACATTGAGTTGCCAAATAATATATTTTTTAGCCAAAATTGACCGTATTTTAAGAAAGTAAAGATTATTTGAATGTATAGACTATCTGTATAGTAATGTTCTTGAATGTTTAATGAAGAAAAAGGAATGACATTTTCCATAACATGACAATTCTTTCCAATAGTTATTCCATTTTTCTAGGATAGTTCTTGTCACCATGTTTACTACAAAGCTGTTTTTATGTTATTATGTTTTGCCGATCGTGTATTAAAAAGCTTTTGAAAATAGGATACATCAGGACAAAAACTGTACCAGTCAACTAAATCGAGGCAAAATTAATATAATGATCTTGAAATGGTACTTACGCAATGTTTTGATTTTGTACATGTGTGTATAGCAGCGTCACGTTGAGATAACACTCATTTTACTTACTTCCACGTGATTTATTTCCACTGCTATTTTATACTTTCTGTTTTATTTTTATCGCCATAATCACTATTGTATGGAAAATATGAAACCTTGGTCTGTCCTTTCGCGTCACTTCCTGTTGAAACACCGCAGTTTTTTGCGAAGTTGTGTGTTAACGCGTGACTTTGTAGGCATTTTCTTATCTCCCCAAGTTTATAAGATTAAAACGTTATTGCAAAAGTAAGCCTGCGACACGCGTTAGATCAAAAGAAATACCTTCATTGCCAGTCTGTTTATTAGTATTCTGAAGTTTAAGGCATCATTGTTTTATGCATTTTAATTTATTTGGTTCACATTTCTTCTTGTACATGTTTTTCACAGATGGTGTCGAGGAATGATAATCTCTAGATGTGATAATGGACAGTTTAATGTGTACTCAGTAGACTATGGAGATAAAGAAACAGTACCTAGAAATCATATAATGCAAATCACTGATGAACTTTTGAAGGTACTGGTAATCTTTATTTCACTTTATTTGAAAGAATACTTGAGTGTCATCTGTTTAGTTTTATTAACCAGTCTTTGTTTATTAGTCAGGGACTTATAATTTGGTCATTCTTTGCATGTGCCTCGTACTGAGTGACAGCCATTTTGTTTTTTGAAAATATCGTATCTTGTGCATGCTTTGTCATTTTCATTCAAATTTGTTGTATAAATTTTACATTTTAGATTACATGTTTATGATAATTTGTTTCACAATCGATCAAAGATGGATGACTGGCGGCCATCTTTTCTTTTGACCATACTACTATATCTCCAAGGCTTAGAGATCATATCATTCATACATGTCCATGTCAGTTTGTGTCATAATCAGAACAAAGATGGTCGTCTGGTTGCCATTTTGCTTGATTTGTTCATGATTTGTTTTGTCGGTTTTCGTTCAAATTTGATACAAACATTCATGTTGAAATACATATCCATCATGATTTGTTTTGGGTTCAAATCCAAATCGACCAATTGGCAGCCATCTTGTTTTTTCAAAATGTATCATGTTTTTTCTTCTCTTCAAGTACATGTTAGGATACATGACCATGACAATTAGTTTCACAATTGGATCAAAGACAGTTGACTCCCTGCAATCTTACTTTTTGACCATTCTTCTATATTTGTACATGAGCAATCCAGAAATCCAGTTTGGATACAAAAAATGCATGAATAGCATATCCTGTTTAATTTCTGACCATATATTTTTAGTCTCTGACACAGTCCAAAAACAGGGATTTATGAATTGATCAACCCCTGTGTATCCATGCATCTGTGCTTGCATACTGTCCTACATCTTAGACATGCCTGGACCGATTACATTCAAACTTCACACATACATCATACATATTATTATACATATGCACATTAATTTATTTCATGATCTGATGGAATGTCAGCCATTTTTGTACTGTAAAATCATCAAAATCAAGCATTTCTGGGCTATTTACAGATGGATTTTGTTCAAACTTGGTTTATACATTGGACATTATGAGACCTTGATACACATCATTTTGTTTTTCAGATCGGATTAAAAATGGCTGACTGATGGCCATATTGTTTTAATGAATGCTGTTTGAGAGCCATGTCTCTTGGATGCTTTGACTGGTTATGTTCAAATTGTATTTATTCATTATACATCATTTCATTGATATACAGATGTATAGGTTTTACGATCCAATTCAAAATAACCGACCGGTGGCCATTTTGTTTTAATTAATGATTTTCCAGCGCAATATCTCTCAATATGGACAAGTATTGTACTATGTCACTATAAACAAAATCATACAAGTTAGATTTGTTAACTAAAGGAGACTGTGCCATGCATGGCTTGTGATTTTGATTTTAATTTCTGTTGATGCTAGACCAGCCAATTAATTGCTCTCAATTACTAACTATGCTTTTGTCCATATTACCTTATTTTTGGCATGAATAACATTTCTCATCAACAAGGACAGAATACTGTGATTATTTCCCGTTATGTAATGACAGTGGCAATGCCTGTCATGTATATGCACACAAGTACTTTATGACAGTTTCTTATACATGCTGACTGTATGCTTTAAAGCTCACACACCAAGGCTGCTGTGTTGTTTGCTGTATGGTTAGACATGTAAAATCAAAAAATGCAAATATCTGCATTTAATATTTAATTTGTTGATTCTTATTGTACAGCTGCCATTTCAAGCCATTGCATGTAAATTATGGTGCATCACTCCATCAGAAGGTGATGGTTGGACAGTGGAAGCTGGTGATGCATTGTGGGACTTAACAACCAATAAAGGCAATAAAAAGTTGATGGTTGCTAAGGTATGATTATTTGATGTAGAAATATCGTAGTTGAACAGTGATTCTTCGTCCATGTGTTCTATGACTAAAAATTCAGGCTATATCAAATAATTTTCTATGTAGCATGGTTAATAGATGACTCGCAAAACATCTTTTTTTTGGGTGCTATACACATTGGATGATAGTCATTTTTGATAAAGTAAGGATATCTCAACGCCATATTCTTGCCAAAGATCAGCATATTTTGACGTTAAAATATATCTAGTACAAAATCAAATAATTGATTTTTGCGGTAGATGTCTGATTTGTGTCTTTCACGTGAGATCTTGCAGTGAAACAGAAAATCACTTATTTCAGCCCATGTGCTTTGTTCAGTGACTGACCATTAGTGATTGACACATCGGAAACGTACAAAGCTGGCTTAATGATTTATACCCCGGTAAAGTTAGATTTACGTGATTGAATATATATTGTATTTTTGATAGGTATATTCTAAAGAGACGTCTAGAGTATGTGGTACTACTGTGCGCTGTTATAACTTGGAGTTATACGATACAAGTACAAAATATGACATTGTAATTAGTCAAGAGCTTGCATTTATGGGGCATGCTGTGGGCTCCAAACCTTCTGCCAAGGTAAGTGACAGTGTAGCAACATAGAGATGTATCATTGCAGACATTCATTATTATAATGACTTCATTACCAGTAAGATACGAATGAAAGTATGATTTCAAGAAAATCTTTGTGGATATGCTTTGCTAAGGAATGTGTTGCACAGAAACTCATGCATGTGTATAAATCATGATGGGCATCAAGCATTTGTTACCAGCCTGTTTGCTTTGATATATTGCCTATAGTTCAATTACCATCACACAGTTTAGTAAGCTGGACATTTAGTGTTCACTATGATACATTGTCAGTCTTGGTTATTATTCACAAAATAAAACCTTTTATTTAGATTTTTGACTCCCGTGTGCGAAGCACAAAAGGGAGTCTTTGCAGTTACCCTGTCTGTATGTCTGTATGTCTGTATGTTCGTATGTATGTATGTATGTATGTATGTATGTATGTATGTATGTATGTCACTTTTTTTGTTCCACCGTTATCTCAAGAACCACTAATCAGATTTTGGTGAAACTTGGTACATAGATGCTCTGGGATAATGCGCAGAGTTGATTAGGTTTTGGTAAAAATCTATGAATATTAATTACCATTATTTGCATGATAATTAGCTGATTTTTAGCTGTTCCATGACTGTTCCACTG